CAATGTCGTACACTGTTATTTTCTGGAAGCAGTTAGCTCTTAAGAATCTGTTACACCGTATTTTGAATTTTTTTTCAAAGGCCCATAAAATGATAAATCCAAAGGCTGTAGCTTATAGGACGTACGGGGTGGTATAGAAATTACATTAATGTGACTCGCTCTGCAAAATGCATAACTCTCTAGAGAAATGTGACTGCCGTGGTTGTCAAACACCAACAGCACAGGACCTTCAATTGTTGGTTTAGCGTTCTCCTTGAAATGTTTTAGCCAATCTTGAAATAGGTTTTCGTTTGACCAGCCGTTGTGAGAGCATGTATAGATGGCTCCCGGAGGCCCCCTCTTTCTAATTGTGGAGACATCCGCTTTCGAGGATAGATAAACACTTGTGGGGGAGAAACCTGACAGCACCACTGTAAGGTTTCTCCCCCACAGACCACTTTAATGTTTCTCCTCCACTCCCAGCTCGTAACAGATTCCACCTGGTGTTGGCTCTTTTGTGCTAATATCTTACCGAGTTTTTGTACCGTTGAAACACCCGTTTCACCCATATTGAATATTCTTGTCGCCTTTAATTGGTGTTTCTTATATACCTCATCTAGGTTAGCGAAAAACAAATCAACTTCATCTTTATTGAAATCCAGAACTCAATTGAGGCTTGTTGCCGAGGGCTGCCTCAAGCTCAAAGTTGGGTTTCTTTTTCTGAAACCAGCCACCCAATCTTCCCCAGCCATCTAAGTAACTGTATTGAAACTATTTTTAATATTTAACTTGTCAGCGAGGTTAAAGGCTATTCGACGCAAATCAGTAAGTGTTATGCCATAAAACTGGTTTGATAGTTGTTTCATGTGATCAGCAAGTAATGCTTCTTGTTCGAAATTAAATACCGCTTTTCTACCCAATGCTGGCTTAGCTGTGGAATTCAATTTTAGTCAATCGTGCAGAGTTATCCTGGGTATACTCTATTCAACTGAAACAAAAGGCAATACAAATAAAATATTTTAACATTCCCAAACTGTTTTAAGGTGGTCCTATACTAGAAAACCCAAAAAGTTTAAAATATATTCTAATTTTTTGATTTTTTAGAAATGATATAGCATTTTATGTTTAAAACACAGTAAAAATTATAAAAGTGAAAGTAAAATAATTAGGGTCAATTTTTGGGTCCATGGACCCAAAATATGGACTACACGCTGCAATAAACAGTTTGTGAACCAAGAATGGTATGATCATAAAATTTTCACAAATTTTTTACAACATAATTGCATTCACCCTGCCAAAATCAAATGATTTAACAGATAATTGAAAATTTAAGAGGAAAACAGGCTTAAGGCTTAAAAAAAGCTACAAAAAGGCTTGGAAAAGACACTGCCATTTTTGAACTGGTTCGTTGACGTAAATTATTTTGCTACGGTGAATGTATATATATGCAATAAATAAATCCTTTAAATTTCAGCAAAATCAAACAAAGTAATGACAAGATATTTATCGTACCCTGAAAAAAAATCTTATGTTAAGAAAAACAACAATAAAGATATTTTATGAGAAAAAATGAAGTATTGGAGAAATCTCAGTTTAAAGTTGACCGGATTTTTCCGTGTCCAACCGATATATACATATATATATATATATATATATATATATATGTAAATGTTGGACATATTCCCTTTGTGCTCTTAACCATCGATATATAAACATACAAATATATATATATATATATATATATATATATATATATATATATATATATATATATATATATATATATATATATATATATATATATATATATATATATATATCGGGTGGACACGGAAAAATCCGGTCAACTTTAAATTGAGATTTCTCTAAAACCTTAATTGCTTTTTATTTCAATTTTTTCTTATTATTAAATGTGTTTACTTAAATTAGAGTTTCAACTTAATTTTAAGGGGCTTGATGGGTTGTTTGGCAAGAAATTGAACTTTATAGCGGGTTGATGCCATATTTTCACAGATTTTTTTCTTTTTTCACCATATTGGTGGCATTAATCCACTTTTTTTGGAAGTCCTTTTTATTATTTGTTACTCCACCTGTCCTACGAAGAACTTCTTTAACTATTGCCCAAAAATCTTCAATCTTGCGTTCTTCAGGACGATTTGGAGGATTCGCATTTTTAGGAGCAATTTTCACATTATTATCTTTGCACTACTGTAGAACTTTTTTAGAATAGTGAGAGGCAGCAAGATTAGGCTAAAAGAGACATTGGTATTTGTGTTTTTTTTTATAAAAGGCAAAAGTCTTTTTTGGAGGCATTCTTTGATGTAGAGATTGGCAGTCAAGGTCTTTTTAGTGACGAAACAAGAGGAATGCATACCACAGCTACAAATTGCTTGCCACACAAGGAACTTGGATGCAAATTTTTCTCATCAAATATATTTAAATTGATCATCAACTGATTTATCTTTGTTTTCAAAGTAAAACTGTTGACCAGGAAGTTGTGAAAAATCGGCTTTGCAATATGTTTCGTCGTCTTCAATTATGCACATATTTTTATCCGCCATTATTTTGAGCAAATTCTTTGCGCGTCGAATTCCTTTAATTTCAAAATAAATAAATTTAATTTCTCTTAGGTGTATTTTTTTATGAAATGCTTTAATTCCAGCATTTTTAAGTACTTTTTTGATCCAGCATTTTTAAGTACTTTTTTGATCCAGCATTTTTAAGTACTTTTTTGATATAAGAACGAGATGTCTTGAGTTTTCTTGCTAGATCTCGCTGTGACTGGTTTGGATTTCTTGCTATTGAACGTAAAATCGACTTTACTTTTTTGGATTTATGGAAAGTTTTTTTTCTTCCACTTTCAAGATTTCTTTCGAAGCTTTGAGTAGTCTTGAACTTGTTTATAATATCTATGACTGTAGATTCCGGGACATTTGTGCGTTTAGCAATCAAGCGATAGGAAGTCGATGAATTTTTGCAAAAAAAATTCACAACTTTTTTACGCACCTCAATTTGTTTCCAAAACATTTTGTAAATCATTAATTCGAAAACAAAAATTTACCAACACCATTTAAGATAAGGAAGTAAGGTTTAAAAAAAAAAAAATTAAATAAAAAGCATTTGTAGTTTTGGAGAAATCTCAGTTTAAAGTTGACCGGATTTTTCCGTGTCCAACCGAAATATACATAATATAATATATATATATATATATATATATATATATATATATATATATATATATATATATATATATATATATATATATATATATATATATATATATATATATATATATATATATATATATATATATATATATATATATAGTATATATATATATATATATATATATATATATATATATATATATGTATATATATATGTATATATGTGTATATATATATATATATATATATATATATATATATATATATATATATATATATATATATATATATATATATATATATATATATATATATATATATATATATATGTATATATATATATACATATATATATAATTTGTAGCAAACAAAACTTGAATTTTATAATAAAAACAAAGAGAAATTAATGTTAAAATAATGCCAAAGCTTTAATTGCTATGAGAAACTGTTGATGAAGTAGAAAACTGATTTTCTCTCAAACACATGTTTTTAAATATCCTGCAACATCTAACTTTCCTCTTTTTTACCATAACAAATAATAAGCATTTAGATCAAATAAAATTAAACACAAGGCTTTTCTATAAGTAATAATTGTAAACATGCAAATTGTTCTTGCAAGTCATTACTTTCTTAAGTTAAGCAAACACGAAACAGTTACTGGCTCTAATGTTTCTAATAGTGTCATAAATCTAGTGTATAATGGCGAAAAACTCTAAAATAGCTTTTTATTAATATAAAAAAAATCCGTTGCTAGGGGTGTTGCTTAGGAAAAATTTTAACTTCGTTACAAAACTTACAATTTTTGAGTATTAGAAACATAATTTATTATAATGATTTGTATATATTCTGAATGAAGAATGTTTGAAATTTCAGAATTTGTAATTTTTGAAACAACTATTTTTTCGATTTTTTCTAGTATAGGACCACCTAAAATATTTTATAAATAATGGGTCATTACCGACACCTGTCAGCATTGCCCTGTGGTGGTGTGTCGGCGTTACCCCGGTGGAACAAGATGGCGGAAACCTAACCCTACAAACTATTGCTAGCTCCAAATCCTAAAACGGCTATGCCAAAATGTTGGTTTCAATATGTATTTTCTAGCTGACTAAATGGTTTTTTAGATATACTAACAATTAGAATCTTACCTCAGTTCATCCAGGAGTTTGTTTTAACGTGGAAAACTTCAAAAACTAGTTATTAATTTATAGCAAAACAAGCAGTAGGCGTACTCGCATAAAACTCACTGAGCGTTAGTTTTAGTGTTGTCCGCCAGGTAGTACAATAGCGCTTTACTCACAAAATACAACTACAGAGCATGTTGTCGGATTAGCCCTGTGTGTTGGTATTTCCCCGGTCTTCCCTAAACTTTTATCAGAAATAAAAGAATGGTAATATAAAAACCGTTTTAACATAATCTTTATATAACTTGTCTGCTTAGGTGGTTTATAGCTCCTGAAATCAAAAAAGTTAGCAAAGAAGTCTATTATATATTTTTCAAAAATTCACGAATTGCAATCGACTTTTTTGCCGCCTTTCCCCCTCCTTAACAAACTGGACCCTAAATTATAAAGAAATTTTTTAAATTGAAGATAAGAAGAATAAAGCATAAAGAGGTTGTCTTTCAAGTTGCTATTTTTATTTATTTGCCTTAAAATTTCATCTTTTTTTTTTTTAAATATGATTTTTCTAGCTTTGAAAAACTCAATAAAGTTTTTAGCACTATAATAGCTTCGTTTCATTCACAAGTCAATTTTTAGACGCATTCGATTGAATAATGTTTCTACTTACGCAAACAATCCTGTCAAAAAACTTAGCAAATTAAAAAATTTTTAAATCAATCGTAAGATTGAACTTTAATTCTTTCTTATTTAAGCTTTTTTAACGCAAAGATTTTTTACAGATACAAGTATACGAACACTGATACAGATACAAGTATACGACACTGTCTGTAAAAAAAATTAGAATTAAAAACGAAAATGGATAATGTAAGTTTAGATTTTATATATATAGCGTTTACTTTAAAAATTAAAACAAAATGTTTTTGATGTGGTAACTTAGTTTTAATAAAGGCGCTACTGCAATTTCCCCCCCCCCCCCCCTTTTTTTTTTTTTTATTACTGATTATGATAGAGAATTTCATGCTGGTTAGGAATCGTATAAAAACAAGGTCTGAAAATTAACAGAAAATGCTCTAATTTGATGTTGAAGTTTAAAAAATTACACTAAAAAACGCTAATATTCGCTATTTTCTTCATTCTCGGTTATAATTAAAACCCTTATCCAAGAATGATTTTAAAAGCCTGGTTTCTATCAACAATTTAATGCTAAACTGTTTAATGCAAAAATGCTAAGCGCATTATTTTCTGATTTATCCCTTGGCGAAACCTTAACCCTGACCCAAATCATGTACGTTTAATCGCGCCAATCCCTATTTGTAAGTCGATGTATGTGCATTTAGTTGTGCCAATTCTTATTTGTCGATTTATGTACATTTAACGAGTTGTCCATTAATTACACTCATAAAAATATTTAATTCAATTATAAATTAATTTTGATGACAATAAAAACCGGGTCGCGTAATTAAAAAAAGATTTTATTAACGATCGATTTCAAAATATAAACTTTGACGTAAAACATATTTAAAAAATGGCGAATATTAGCGTTTTTTAGTGTAACTTTTTAAACTTCAACATCAAATTAGAGCACTTTCTGTTAATTTTTAGACCTATGTTTTAATACGAATCTTAATCAGCATAAAATTCTCTATCATAATCAACAACAACAACAAAAAAAAAAAAAAAGGGGGGGGGGGAAGAACAGCAGTAGCGCCCTTAATAAAATAGCACTGCATAACTTCCACTCCTAGTTGTACCATATCTCTTGTATGTTTAATTAAATGTTTAATACTTTTGATGGTTGACAAAGCAAAGCATCATTGCCGACAACACAGGTTTCAAAGTGGAGGGCCATAATCGTTAATTTTTAAAAAAGTCCTCTATATCTAGAAATTTTTTTAAAAAAGATGTCTTCAACAAAAAAAAGTGAGGAGGATGAAGCGGGGCATGTGCCCCATTTGCTCCTCAAGTGTCGTCGGCTCTAAAAATTTATTAAATTAT